AATACTAATAAAGTCCTATGAATACATATGCCCACTAATGTAAATCAAAAGTTGTACATTAAAATAATGATGTTGGAATTTCTTCATCGATTGTGCTCATCTGGAATGATCACAATCTATTAACTTGTGGATGAAAGCATTCGAACACTGAACTTGTTAACTCAGTAGTACACACTTCTACTCTACTATACTCCATGCAATTCATATGCATATGCATGCAATGCAAGTATATGTAGAGTGATCATGTGTTATTTCTATTTCGGACATTTACTTATTACAATTTATTAGTAATTACTCAAAAGTATCATTAATCATGTTTTTAGTATATAATCTTAGATTTTATTCATTTAATCCTAGCATTTTTTCATACTTTATTTATCATAATAAGATCAATACTATTCCAATGCTCGGAGTATCATCAACAACACGTTTCTTGCATAGCCATAAACCTATGCACATAACAACAATAATCACAGGGTAAATGAAGTCACTACACATCAAGTATAATATACAATAGATTATCATACTTGGAATCACTACGCATCAGGTAGAATAGGTAAATATAACAATAGGATACTTGGAATCTCTACGCATCAGATATTGCATCAACATACAAATATGGTATCTGTAATCACTACGCATCTGATGGTATAGGAAGAACTAGTATTTGAACACTATGCATCAAATACCACAAACCATGACTACCCGGATAGTTTAACAATATATCATTGTTCTACAATATGAGTGCCTGTAGGCCATACATAAACACATTTCCTTCAAGGTCAATTATCCCAATACATGCCTCACATTTACGACCATTATTCACAAACTCGACTCGGTTCATTATTCTAGTTATTCTCATTTTATATCTTATCTATTTTTTATGCATTATGCTCAAGATGTTAGTCATTTAGCAACTCATAGCCAATGTCAACCTTATATTCCTTGCTAAAACAACAATTTCTTGTCTTGTGTGTTTATGCCGATTCCTTTCTATTTCTTGTAGAGGAGTTGGTATTGCTATTAGAACTCTGTTGGGGGTTTCATGCTTGATTATAGCTGTACTACTTAAGTTTCGAAGACGACATCAGTGTATGGATGATACAATTGAAGAATTTCTTCGAATGCAAGGCAAGTTAATGCCCATCAGGTACTCTTATTCAGAGATAAAGAGAATGACAGATTCTTTCAAAACCAAATTAGGGCAGGGTGGGTTCGGATCTGTATTCAAAGGAAAGCTTCGAAGCGGCCGTTTTGTTTCAATCAAATTGTTAGAATTGTCGAAATCACAAGGCCAAGATTTCATCATTGAAGTCGGTACCATCGGGAGGATTCATCATGTTAACGTGGTACAGGCGTACAACTCGTTGGTTTTTGTGTAAAAGGATCAAAACAAGCCCTTGTCTATGATTTCATGCCGAATGGTTCTTTAGATAAAATCATATTTTCAGAAGAAAAGAGTGTCGATTTGAGCTGGGAAAAAGTGCTCGAGATCGCAATCGGAGTGGATCGAGGGATAGAATACTTGCATCGGGGATGTCATATTCAAATTCTACATTTCGACATCAAACCACATAATCACCCCGAAGGTTTCGGATTTCGGACTTGCGAAATTGCATGCAATGACAGCATTGTGCTCTCACAGCAGCACGAGGAACTGTTGGATTATTGGATATATTGCAACAGAATTGTTTTACAAGAACATCGGGTGTATCTCGCATAAGGCAGATGTTTACAGCTTTGCAATGTTGATGGAAATGGCAGGAAGGAGAAGGAATCTGAATGCACTTGCTGAGCAGTCTAGTGAAATATATTTCCCCTCGTGGATTTATGACCGATTTGACAGGGGAGGATCTAGAAATATAAGATGCAACTGAGAACGAAAGAAAAAATAGTAAGGAAAATAATCATAGTTGCCTTTTGGTGTGTAGACACTTATTTTCGTCTAGACACTTTTAGTATATATAGTATATAGTATATATTATATATTATATATATATATTTAGTATATATTATTATTATATATTATATATGTATATATGTATATTATATACTATATATTATTATATTATATAGTATTATATATTATTATTACTATGTTTAGTATATATTATTTATTATATTAATATTATATTTTGTTATTTATTATATTATTATTATTACTATTTCGGTTTTTAGGTTTACAACAATGAAGTCTAACCGAAGCAAGTCTGACCCAGCAAACCCAACAAGGCCCAACCGAAGCAAGCCTGACCCATTAAACTCGGTAAGGCCCAAGCCCGTCTGCCTAACCCAGCAGGGGCTAGGGTTTTGTATCAAGCAAGGGAAGCATTACAGGGCGCGTGAGGGCCACGCGTCGACGCCAAACTGAAGCCAAATAGAAAAATCGGACAAATCGGAGGGGAAAACGTCCCCTATTTTCCAACAATAACATGCTGAGAGAATCGGCCACAACTGCAACAATGAATCCCAACAAGATCGGAATTTAAAAACCCGATTCAAGGGAATTTCACCCCTCTCCTAGGGCTATAAAAGGGCCTCCGATGAAACCGAAAAAGGATACATAATAACACATAGTAAAAGATAGCAAAACTCAAAGCAAATCAAGCAAAAATAATAATGTTTGAAGCAACTAATAAGCCACAAAAATACAAAAACTAAAACAACCTTCGATTTTTAGCGTCGAAAGGAGGAACGGCCAACGAGATAACGAAAGGTTTTCGTCGAAAATAGGTAAACACAGTAACGTAAATCCTAGATCTACACATGTATGGTTGTTTTGAGGTTGTAAGGGTCTCGATTTTAAGGTTACGAGGATGAAAGGATTTTTTTGGGTAATTTTGAATTTTTCGACTACTGGAGGTGGTGGACGGAGTGGCGGTGGACAGTGATTTTATGCGTCGGCATGTGGCCGGCTAGGTGAGGGGAAGAGTGAGTTGAGAGAGTTTTTAGGGAGGGGATATTTATTTTGAAGAACTGAAATGGATGAATGTTTTTTTTCTTCTGGTTTTTGGGTTTTATATAGGGAGGGCCTTAGTGCAATTATGAAATAGTTTAATTATTTTTGCAATCCCTAAAAGTTTGATATGTATTTCATTTTGGTCACATGTTGTAAATTTGCCCTTAAATTTTGAATTAATTCAATTTGATCCCTATTTATATTTCTTATATTTTGCAAATTAATCCCCTAACTTTTATTGTTCTCCTTGTAGCTTCCTATTAACTTCAATTTGACCCTTAGTTTCAATTTTTTTAATTTAATCCTTCTTTAATATTTCTTTTAATTTAATATTTAATATTTAATATTATTTATTTATTTATTTATTTTTCATTTTCATTTTCATTTTCGTTTTATTTTATTTTATTATTTAACATTAATTTGGCTTCTTTTTTAGGACAATTTTAATGGGTCAAAGGTAAGTAATTCGGATCGAATATTAAATTTTAATTTAACTTTTAATTTTCGCAAGCAAGACAATCGATAAATTAAATTGGTACCAAAAGGGCAATACAAGGGTGTTAATCCTTCCTTGACTGCAATTGACTCTCGAATCCGATTAATTTCTGGTAAAACGCAGATCAGGTAAATGGTAAGTTAAGGTATCCGGTCAACCTAATTTTAAATGATCGGTGGCGGTTCTAATACATCAAAATTAATTCGAAACCCAATTCTAGGCCCACCCGAAAGTATGGTGTATACAAATAATGCCTACAGACCGTCCTTCGGTGAGTAAGGTTTTGGAGATGCTTGAATGTGCGGTTGACTCCTTGATATGCCTACAAAGTCATTTCTATTTTCTATGGATAGGTCATCCGCGGAACCTACGGCAGCAGCCATTGATGCTACTACCGAGAGCATGGACTGGGCACAGTGCTCAGACAGCTAGACTTTTCTTCAACTTATACGTGTAAGACTATAGTTGTAAGTTGTATAAATAAAGATGTGTTTATAGGGGCAAAGATGGACGTATGATTTTATGTTAGGGTGATAAATTTATAATATGGATACTTTTCCGTAATGAACTCTAAAAAAATCCTATATGGAGCCCTAACCCCAGTGATGAGCCAAGGGCGAACTTAAGTCTTTGGCGATGTATCTAGAAGCTAAACGCACCTCTAAAGTTGGAGGCTTTCTTATGGCGAGTTCGCAACAGTGCAATAGCTGCAAATGGAAAGCTTCTACAACGTTTCAAGAAAGGCCAAGGAAACTGCCCTAGATGTGAATCAAAGGAAATCTCGAAATTCGTGGATCTTCCACGGTTTATAGTAAGAATACGATCCAAGTTTGGTTAGATAATATGAAGATGTCGAATATATATATATATGGATGCAAATGACAAATCCCATTCCTTCTGATCACTCCCCTCTTTTCCTCTAATATCATTTTCGGATTACATAGTTTGGCAAAACGGATTGTCAGGGTGGCCGAGTGGTCTGAGGCGCCAGACTCAAGTTCTGGTCCTCTTACGAGGGCGTGGGTTCAAATCCCACTTCTGACATTTATTGGTTTTTGTTTTCTTATCTTCTTCTCCCTCCATTTTTCATTTTTATGTGTGCTTTTACCCAAGGGTTGCTTTTCAGGTTTAGCTTTTTGGGTTCTGGAAAGCATTCAACTTACTTCTTTTAAGCACCATTAAATATCCTTGATTGATGTCATCTAGTGTTATGAATAATCGATCATCAAATATTAAGTTAAAAAACAAAAATAAATACATAAACTTTAGTAGTCCATTACTAAATAATCAACTCAAGCAGACAAGCTTGATCTGATGATATAGAGATAACTGCTCATGTAAACTACAATTCAATGTTAGAGAGGTGAAGATCACAACTCTAGGAAATTAACAAGGCCAGATATCCAAGAAACATTTAGTCGGTACTCTACAAATTTAGAAGGTATAAACCCATGAAACATGGATATTCTCAATCTACTTACTGTATGTAATTTATGTAATTGATTGGAAATAGAATCAATGAAAACATTCACTACTTTCCACGACAAATGGAATCACTTGTCTAGTACAGCAAAAGGGAGAAGCAGCGACTTTATAGTATATAGCATTTCATAGCATCTGCCTCACTTTGTAATTCCATAAAGCTTTATGGTTAGTTCCAAGGCTTTATCCACCACAAACTGCTCCACATCCAGAACCTCCACAGCCAGCCGCACATCCTCCACCAACGAAACCTGTGTCGTCTGATGTAGTTTTCTCCTTCGATACGCCATCTGCACACGAGAAAATCATGGCCCAAATCGAAGAAAGGGTCACCAGAACCGCCCACAAGACCAGGACAACACCGCCAACATCCGTATCGGTAATTTCTTTCAGTTCCCGAACCATGTTTTCTCTCTCTATGTTCTCCTCGAATGAAATGAGCAATGGGAGACTCGAGTAGTGAGTGTTCTTATATAGTTTGTATTAGCTAGGCCATTGACTTAGCATCAGTATATAATAATATTATATTTGCTTCGGCCATTAGTGAGGATTTCCTTAATTTCCCACTCAGCTTTTAGAGATTCTTATTGCTTGCACTAGAATTGGCAGGCATAAGCAAACCATCAGAAATGGACTTGAAATATGAGCAGTGGTGGGTCAATAATCACATGCACCGCTACAAATGCATTGTGTATGATACATACATGTACTTCCACTATTTCTTGTCAACCTATATGTTAACAGACCTACTTTTAAATCCTTGAAGTTGAAGTCTAGGCATTTTTACTTAAATAATATTTTTTTAAATTATTTAATATAATAATATTTAAAAGTATTATTTTGAAAAATGAAACCCATCTTCTCATCGGATGTGTTACATAAATTAAAGACGAGTTCAATCAATAGAAGACACGATTGACTACGCACGCCTTCTGCCTACATAATACACTCGTCAGAAACCTCTAATATATTTAATTTGGAAAATGGAAGGTACAGTTTACTTAATATGCTTATGATACAATATTTTTTCTGTTTCTATTGTATATATCAATCTCAATAGTTGTGATGTAAAAAATTATCTCTCTATCCAAATAACATAATAATTTAAACTATTTGTCACCCAAATAGGTGAGATAAATATTTATATTATTTAAATATAATAATAACTTAAATATAAATTATTTAAACACACATTATTTAATTGAACTGATATTATAAAAAAATCAATATTTATAGATAAAATATAGAATTCATTTAAACTATCTAAACACAAAAAAATATTAAATATTAAATATTTAAATCATAATAAATTAATTTATATAAATCTCGATTTCCCATTTAAATTAATATAAAAAATATTTTATTTTTTGGGCACGCCACGTAGACCAAAACGTAAAATTTTATTTTCCTTTATGGGTGCGCCACGTAGACTAAAAACGTGTCCGATCAATCATATTTTTGAAAGACATATTTAATTAAGTGTGCCTTTGTAACACATTCAATCAGAAAATGTGTACTATTTTTTATAAATATTACTTCACCAACAATTTCGTTAAATAATATATTTTTGTAAAAGTGCCTTAAATTTCTGGTAATATATGTGTGTGTGATCAGCAGTAATTAGATAGTTGGCAGTGGCCACCATCTTGAAAAATATATATAAATCAATATATAATTCTCAACTAGTGAATATCATCAATAGTAGTAACTTGGGCAGGCTGGAACTAGTCCAATCTTATCCCAAGTAACCGTGGGACAAACAGAGTTTAAAATGCAATTATTTGTGTAATTAGTGGACACACAACTTTAATAATAGAAACATCCATTACTTGTTTGTAGAGTCCAATTTGCATAAGCTTTCAGATTGCATCACAAAACACATGTATGTATCACTCGGTAGTCATTATAGACCAGAAGTAGTGGTGTAAATGTGGACAGCAAATTCAGTGCATTAGGGATTCATTAATCATCATGTTCATTCCCATTGGATACCGAAATGAAATATTTCGAGTTTTAATAAATATAAATATGTTTTATTCATTAGATGAACGATCAAACATGTATAAGGAAATGTACATGTATAATGGAAACAACGAGGGTTTTTGACAATTTACGAGTATTTCTTCTCCTTCGCTGGTCCTCTGGGTATCTTGTTAAGAACTCTAGAATCAAACCTCTTGAACATTTTGCTCATCTTACGGCTCATTTTCCCTGCATGATAATCAACTTCCTTCTCGTATCGACTGTACAGATACGGAAGCGTTCCCATGCTCACAAACCCTTCCAATTTCATTCAATCAACAAAAACTATTTACTTCTCTAATCTCAATGCTTTAGAATCATTAATAGTCATGACATGATAATTCTTACCTAGGAAGAGGAGATTCACAAAGTCGAAATAAGATCCGATCATCGATATTATGTACAGAGAAATAATCACCTGCAAATTACCACGAGTTTAAAATTTTGAAGGGCATAATTAAACAAACAAAAAAAGATGGAGATTTTGATGGCGGTACCAGGAAGAAGGTGACAGGTCATTTCCACCAGCAATGTGGAGGAATTTCTTCAAGAACTGATTGAACTTCCAATGGAACATGGAAACAACTTCATAGAAGGCGTTTTCATTTGACCATAAATGTGGGATATTGGACGATTCCTGGAGATAAAAATTGTGAATCAATAACAAAACAAGGTATTGCATGTAGATTGTAGGCAGGTGGTGAAGTAAAAGAAGAAGAATTGTATATTATACCATCCAAAATAATCAACAGAAATGCACCATATGAAGATGACAAGCATGGTGGTGATTGTTAAAAGTTCAAAGTTTGGCAACCAACTTTGAAAAAATGATTTTCAAAGTTTGGTAAATGTTTCTTTGAAAATGGTTTTCAAAGTTTGGTAAATGGTTTTCAAAGTTTGGAAAATGTTTCTTTGAAAAATGATTTTTCAAAGTTTGGTAGATGTTTGTTGAAATATTGTAATGGGATAATCATAAATAGTCACTAGACTTTAGGGTATTTACAAGATTAAGTCCTTAAGTTTCAACTATAAATACCCTAGCTCATTTAGCTTCAAAACCATCCCAAAATCATTTTCTTTCTCCAAATGCTAAAGAGCTTTCTTGTGAGTAGTGAGTGTTTTGTAAACACCTGTAAATTTTCTCTCTTAGTAAAAGATCTGCAGCAGTCCGGAGACGTAAGCAAAATTGGCTGAACTCCGTTATCAATTTCGAATATTATTTTTCCGCTTTTATTTCGCATTCTCACTAATCTGGTTATAGGGAAATTACTCGTACTCGGTTTATTTCCCAACAACTGGTAATCAAAGCTTTTGGTTGTGAATTTTGTCAATTTTTTGTGAGATTGCTATTCATGTGAATAGTAAATTTTGTGAATAGTAAAATTTTGTCGGCGATACAAATTTGTCGATGGAGGTGTTCTAATACACGGCGGTTCGCGAAAATTGTCATAAACGATCCAAAGAAGCCATATTCGAGTGAGAGCGATGGCTCCAGACGAAGGGAATGTGAAAATTGAAAAGTTCGATGGTGCGGACTTTGGCTTTTGGAAGATGCAGATTGAAGATTTTTTGTACCAGAAAAATCTATATCAACCTCTCTCATGAAAGCAACCAGAGGGCATAAAGAATGAAGACTGGGCTCTTCTCGACAGACAAGCCCTCGGAGTTATCCGACTGACGTTATCCCGCAATGTTGCGTTCAACATAGCAAAGGAAAAGACCACGGCAGTTCTTATGGCGGCTCTCTCCAGTATGTATGAGAAGCCATCAGCTTTGTTGGGATTTTCGGAAGCTCAAATCGACAACCGGAATGGTTTGCAAAGAGGGGTCGGAACGATTTTGTGTTTAGGGAGTAAGGAGATTGAAAGATAGAAAATTGCTCAGCGATTTAGAGTGGTTCGACTTTCTCAACCAAAGTCTACATCCACTACCTTAGCTCCTTACCAAGGATTTTCCAACAAATTCACTAATTTGTTCTTTCTTTCGAGGACAAAGAGATAACCTTATACCTCCCTAGTTTTTCCGGGCTAAACTAGAACCTTTCCCTAGCTTTTACACGGGATTAGCTAGAACATTTCCCCCTTTACAAAAGGATAAGAAATGTAAACAAGAAAACCTCTCTAAGGTAGGTGTTTACAAGAATTAAGCTCACAAGAACAAAATATTTACAAGAGAAAGATGAAATAAGATTGAAAAACTCTTCTCTTGTGTTTGACTGCTTGGATAGTTGTTCTCTTACTTCTTCAAGTGTCCTTAGCTTGTATTTATAGCTTGGAATGTGTTTGAAGTCATATCTAGCCATTGGGGATGTTTTGGAGCCGTTTGGGAATGATTTTTCTACAAAAATAGGCTACCCAGAATGGGGGGAATCGGTACCCCTTCATAGGGAATCGATACCCCTTCATAATATTCAAATATTATGACCACTGGGCTGATGAACAGTGAGGGAATCGGTACCCTCAAGGGGGGAATCAGTTTCCTCCGAGTAATCTGTTATTTCTCGGAGCCAAACCATGCAGGGGGAATCTGTACTCCCTGGGGGGGAATCTGTTCCCGGGGAATCGATACCCCCTGGGGGGAATCTGTACCCCCTGGACAATCTGATTTTTCTTGAAACCCTTTAAAAAAATATATTTTTGGCTCGATTAAGGCTCGAAATACTTTGTAAAATTGTTTTAAAATAGTTTAAGTATAAAACACAATTTTACACTTTAGTAAGGATTAAAATGAACTTTGAAAGACTTTGAGTAATATTTTGATATTCGAATAATTACATCGAATATACTTAGAAAATCTTTTGTAAAATCTTAAAATTCATTTAACTTAATTTGTTATATCGAAACATCAAAATGTTTTCAACAATCTCCCTCTTTTTGATATAACAAAACATTTGAGTAATTTTAAGATTTTGAAATAACGTTTGAAATTACTCCCCCTTACTTTAACACTTCTCCCCTTTAACACCTTAACACTTATCCCTCTTTTTGTTAAATCAAAAAGACTCTAATCTTTGAAGTTCAAAATAACTTTGGAGAGTAAGTAGTAAATTTGACATTTTAAAAATCAATTGAAAAAAATCAAAGCTCCCCCTCAATAAATGAATTCCAAATAAAATTTAGCTTTAAGAATAAGACACTTAAACAAAATTGAATTTCAACAAAGAATAAAAAACATGTTAGTAGCACATGAAATTCAATATATCCAAGACTAAAATACTTTATGCAATACCAATTGTTGAAATTTGATATCAATATCAATTGTTAAAATTAAGTGTATATGCATAAAGTTTTCCAAAAATGTTATGCATTTGAAAATTTTGATATCAATTGTTAGAGAAATATCATTTTTCATTTAAACCACATGCATAAACATTCAAATTTAGGTCAAAAAATTTTAAAATTTGTAAAATCAAAGTATTTGAAAAGTTGATATCAATTGTTAGAGAGATATCATTTGCATTAAAACAAATTTTGACCAAAATTTTATTATGATGAACTAAAAATTCTGAAAATCATTACAATTTTAAAATGTTCATCATAATCATCTTTTCAACATACATGAGATTAAAACAATGATGCATAATCATTTAAAACCAAAACTCATGCATTCTTAAAATCAAATGAGCAACCAAATAATCCAAAATTAAAAGTATTAAGCTTAGAGGTTACCCATTCCTTTTTAATGTGTGGCTAGAGCATCTTGAATATCATCATTTTCATCACAATTGCTTCCACACACCTACAAGAGACATTTAAGTAGATTTTGGTATCCAAATTGCTTTGGATCCTTGAATGTTAGTTACAATGACCCTTGTTCCTTTCGGAACCCATACTTGCCTAATTTTAAAACGTTTTCCTTTCTTCGAATGACAAGTATGTTCCAAATGACCATGATAATGACAATGTGAGCATATTGTCATTATTGAACTAAATGAATTATTTAAAATGATTTCTTTTTCTTTTTGTTAAGCATTCAAGCTTAACTTTTAAATCAAAATTTTGTTTTTCAAAACTATCAATTTTTATTTTTGAAAGCTCTAAATCCTTTTTTCAAAATTTCATTTTGGCTTTCAAAATCTATTTTTGTTTTCAAAAGAAAATCCTTTTCAATTTTAAATTTTGAAATCATTTTCTTATATTTGGAGTTCATGGTCTCAAACTCCGAATATAACCTATTAAAAGCATCTTGTAACTCATCAAACGTATATGAATTAAATTCATTTGAGTTAGAAGATACCTCGGGCTCTTCATAAGCCATTAGAGACACCACCTTTGTTGGTTCTTCTTTCTTGTTTCCATGGATTTCCTCGAGCTTATTCCAAAGCTCCTTGGCACTTGAACATGAAGAAACCCCTTCATAGATTTCAGGACCAAATGCACAAAACAACATGTGCATGGCCTTGGCATTAAGTTGAGCTTTCTTCTGTTCTTTGTCACTCCGCTTCTTCTCCTTCTTCTTTGGAAAAGAGTAGCCATTCTCGATTATCTCTCATAGATCAAGATCATTGGTTTGGATGAATACCTTCATTAATTTCTTCCAATGATGATAGTTGACTCCATTAAAGTATGGAGGTTTGTCGGTTGGTAGGGAGTCTTCCATGTGGAACGAGCCAGAGACATCTTCTCGGTTGTGTAGGGAATTGGTAGAGCTTCTTCTAGGATCGTCTCAAGGTGGTTAAACCTTCTTAACGAGTTAGGCTCTAATGCCATTTCTTGGGATTTTCGGAAGCTCAAATCGACAACCAGAACGGTTTGCAAAGAGGGGTCGGAACGGTTTTGTGTTTAGGGAGTAAGGAGATTGAAAGATAGAAAATTGCACAACGATTTAGAGTGGTTCGACTTTCTCAACCAAAGTCTACATCTACCACCTTAGCTCCTTACCAAAGATTTTCCAACAAATTCACTAATTTGTTCTTTCTTTTGAGGACAAAGAGATAACCTTACAACTCCCTAGTTTTTCCGGGCTAAACTAGAACATTTCCCTAGCTTTTACACGGGATTAGCTAGAACCTTTCCCCTTTACAAAAGGATAAGAAATGTAAACAAGAAAACCTCTCTAAGGTAGGTGTTTACAGGAATTAAGCTCACAAGAACAAAATATTTACAAGAGAAAGATGAAATAAGATTGAAAAACTCTTCTCTTGTGTTTGATTGCTTGGATAGTTGTTCTCTTACTTCTTAAAGTGTCCTTAGCTTGTATTTATAGCTTGGAATGTGTTTGAAGTCATATCTAGCCGTTGGAGATGTTTTGGAGCCGTTTGGGAATAATTTTTCTACAAAAATAGGCTGCCCAGAATGGGGGGAATCGGTACCCCTTCATAGGGAATCGATACCTCTTTATAATATTCAAATATTATGACCGTTGGGCTGATGAACAGTGAGGGAATCGATACCCTCAAGGGGGAATCAGTTCCCTTCGAGTAATCTGTTATTTCTCAGAGCCAAACCATGTAGGGGGAATTTGTACACCCTGGACAATCTGATTTTTCTTGAAACCCTTTAAAAAGAGAATATTTTTGGCTCGATTAAGGCTCGAAATACTTTGTAAAATTGTTTTAAAATAGTTTAAGTATAAAACACAATTTTACACTTTAGTAAGGATTAAAATGAACTTTGAAAGACTTGGAGTAATATTTTGATATTCGAATAATTACATCGAATATACTTAGAAAATCTTTTGTAAAATCT